TAGAAAGCAAGTTGTGAAACTTAATCAGTCTTACTCAGATATACCTCAAGGAGATCCGCAAGGCTCGATTCTGGGACCATTTCTCTATGTAGAACGACCCGACCAGAACGACCTGAATGCAATGAAAATTGTAGCCGAAAATACTCTGGAACATGTGCTGAAGTGGTCGAGAAACAATAACCTGAATTTAAATACATCAAAGACTAATGCTTTGTTAATTACTCTGCGTTGGCACAATCTAAACTTCAGACTTTTTGATGGTACCCCCAGTGAAATAGAAATGTCAAGCATCGGTTAGAATGCTGGGTATAACTTTTGACGCAAACTTAATCTGGACCCCACATATTGACAATATATATGCACAAAACTGCGAAAATCGTGCTACTCTTTGAGGTTTATGGCAAATCATTGTAGTGAAGAGATGCTGCTGATCCTGTATCATGCTAATTTCCACTCCCACCTGAAATACGGCATTTTAAACTGGGGAAATTGCTCCTCTGTAAGTGTTTATTTACTCTGCATAATCATGCCATACGAATATTGGCAAAACTAGGCTCTAGAAATTCGTGCAGACATTTTTTTTCTAATTAAACATCCAGCAATATGGCTGAGGGCAGTAGGATGGCCTCCGCCATAGTACTGTCCTCTTTCACAAAAGTTATTTAGTGAATGAGTGCAAATTATTTAATATTTTACCCGAGACTGTGAAAAACTGTAAAAACATATATGTGTTTAAAAAGATGAGAAAATTATCCATATTACTAAAAAATTGTTACACTTTTGAAGAATTCCTAAACTAGAACTTGAAGTTTTTTTTCTTTTTTAATCTNCCCGATAGTTCCGATGACCAGATCTGTCGAAGTTTGTGCTGATACTTGCCGCGGAGAGAGTTTTTCACTGCTGTTACCTCTTGTGAGTGGCGTTGTTCCACCCCGAGGTAAGTATACGTCTCTCCGGCACCCAGATGGTGTAGGATGCTACGAGCTGCACATCCTCTCCGTAGTCCCCGCATCGTCCTCTTAGTATTATTATTATTATTGTGTGATGTTCACTAAACAGTCTATAAAACGTGTTTCAGTGTGAAATAGCTCCGAAATTATTTCACTTTGGTACAAGAACCTAAAATGAACAGGACTATCACAAACAAGATCAAGAAGAGGTACTTCTACACTTGAATAATAAGCTTCTTAAAGGAAGTCCAGGAAAACAAAGTGTAGTTTGAGAAATAAATAGCAACTTCTGATCGAAAACACCGTCAGTGCAGCTCTTAGAATATTACAAAGGTAAGTTAGCCGCCAAGAAATATCAGTATCAATACCTTCAGGGAATTACCTTCAATAAAGATCTCAGAAATGTAACAAAAGCTTTATATTCTTTGTTTTTTATATTCTATATTTTTGTGTATGGTCATTCTCAAGCCACAGAAAACTAGTTGTAGAAGCCTATGAAATAAATAAAATCACAACTGCTACATTCATTACTATGCCCAATTGTGTGTCTTTAACTAAATTTGAAGTTTCTTCATTCGAGAAAACGATTATTCTTCCAAAACTAACCCTTCATAGATCAACCATTAAAAACCACCCTCAGCGACCTTGTCATTTGCACCCCAAATCCAAAGTGATGAATCTAAGGGACGCAAGCGATCGAAGGGAGAACAGAACGGACGCGTATAACTCAGTGACGACCAACCCCAACCCCTGTGCAAGTGCAAGCAATTTATGCCCCTCGGATATTACGTTCGTCTCGCTAGTATTATCGAATCAACCCTCTTAACCTACATTTTCAAAAATTGGGTCATGAGGTTCGACAAACAAGTTGAAGGGATTCTGAATTTATAATGCTTGATAGGAGAAGTGACTTTCTTTCGATGAAGAAGTTATCATTTGGACAGGGTTTTAGAATTATATGAAACGCAATCTACATAAGCTGAAAAGTCTCGGACCTAACATATAGATGGCGCTAGTCTTATTGCATTTACCGCTTTTTCAGTTAATACTGACCTTCAAAAGAAAGCTGTTGAAATGTCATGTTATTCCACTCAGAAGTTTGTGAATTATTGTGATGAGAGTGATGCTACTTTGTTATTTTCATAACAATGGATCAAAAATAATTTCATGTTTTAATTTTACACTTCTTCTTGATGGGAAAAAATACCGTTACAACTAAGCAATGGCTTGAAAAGTGTTATAAGAACTTGTTACGTGTTAATTTACTTTTTATGATTTTCGTTAAATTACCGAGAAAAAAAATTATGTTAACTTATTTGTTGTTATAACATTTTTGAAATAGTACTTCCATGAGATTCGATAAATTCTAGGTTTCTGTACCCTGAAAATGATACGCTCTGTATTTTCAATTTCCTGTAGATATCATTCATTCACTTTCCATCAATCTTATCTAGTTCTTCAAAATATAACATTACATCACTGTTGAGTTATATTGGCAATCTGTGTCACTTCTGTTAAGTCATATCACTGAAAAGTTTGATTAAAAGGGTTCACCTGTGACGTCATTGGAGATGGTTTTACTTCGAACAGACTATCTGTGACATCAATAACCATGACGACCAGACAACCGTAATAATTAGCCCATAGTAGATGACAAGTTGACATATATTTGAAAGGAGGATATCCTTTCCTTTTTTTTTATCATGACGCATGGCTAGAGCGGAATTCAAGAATTGTGCTCACATTTTGGATAGATTTGCCATATACGTATTAGGAAGTCTCATTTTTGAGAAAAGAAAGAAATACTCACTTCAGTGTTTTGGGATTTGAATTATTCTATCTTCCTAATTAAGCCGTAATCGTTAGACTTCACTTTAAGCCATCCACTATATTCAGGCCTGTTTCGCTTTATGTTCCTCTCCCTTCTCCCCTGGTGAAATCCCTTCTCCCCTGGTGACATCTTGACGATTCGCTTTCAAAAGTAGCTAACCACATTATTTACATTATTAAAAATCCCATTATAGCCACGGAACGTTGCTTCTATCATTTAGAGACGTTTGCAGGTTATAGACTCCGCTCCATTAGAAACAACAAATGAATAATAAGAGAGGGAGCCCAAGCAGGGATTTCGGGATTAATATACAGGGGGATACTTTATACCCGGTTAAGTACCTCCACCAAATATGAGCCCCATATATAAGGCTGCCCGTGAAGGATAAAGGATCAGATTAGTAAAACAAAATTGATCATCAGAAATTCTCGAGCGCGTCAGATAAAGGTAGGGTGAGTTAATTACATGCTATAAAGTGTATATTTCAGTAATCTGACAATTTGAGAGTGACGTAAAGAAAGGGGAGGGCAGCAAAGTTGTAAAAAAATAACGTCATTTCGACATTCTCGAGCGTAACTAATTTTTTTTTCATTTTGAAGAAAATGATTCAAGGATAACGAAAAATATATAATCTGACGATTTCCGCAAGCTGAAATAACAAAAATTCATCGATGAAGTTTAATGCGTGCAGCCAGCTGTGTAATACCTACATTTCCCTCTCCGAGTTTCTTTTCCTCTATTCTCTATTTACTTTTTCTCTATCTATTACTCTCTCACTCCGTCCCCATTCTGAATTCTGTTGCCATGACGCCATCACATTTTATCACAGAGACTCGTTCGTGATGAAGATGAAGATGATGATTAATTAATCAATTAATTGATGGATGTAGCCGTTACTACATGGTAGGAAATCATAATGAACTTATATATTGTATAAGTTTGAAAATGTCCTTATAGGACGAAACTGCAGTAACGTTAGTTACAAATAAAAGTGGTAACAAACAAAGAAATTTACATCAATATGTTGATGTAAAAAACATGTATTACTTATAATATTTATTCATTTTTTCTTTTTTTTTCACTCTGATACATAAGTTTGAATCAGACTTGGAAATGCATTATTTTTCTTGTGATCATGTGTTATTTTGGGTATATGTCTAAAAATGTATAGCTTATAGTTAATCATCTCACGCTCAAGGTTTACCTTTTGTGAGTTATCTTAATTTATTTGCAACGCATTATTTGCATACTAACTTTGAATAACTGTGTAACTTGTGTGTGAATAAATTATTATTATCATTATATTATTATATATCTGACGCGCTCGAGTATGTCCATGCAACAGTATTTTTTTTATATTTCAAAATCTATAGCCGCTTGAAAAGGTATATATTATATAACATTTTTTTTCTTATCATCTAAGCTTTGCAACCTAATATGTCCCAATGACGCTGGAGTAAATTCCCATTTTGCATCGTAGGCTCCCCTGCTAAAATGTTGGTTTCCTGACTTCAAACGCGGTCGTAAAGACACCGATGATGCAGAACGCAGTGGACGTCCACATGAGGCAGTAACACCAGAAAGTGGAGTTGCGTGAATTAGCCGACTTTGTAGAAATGACAAAAGAACATGTTGGCTTTATATTGCCGCGCGAGCTCACTGTTGACCAAAAACAAGAACGTCTTTATGATTCTGAACAGTGTTTGGCCATGTTCAAACATAACAAACCGCAATTTTTCATCGATATGTGACAATGAATGAAACTTGGATCCATGACTTCGCTCCGGAATCGAAACGATCGTCATCTGAGTGGAGATCAACTGGTGAACCTCGTCTAAAGCACCCGAAAGCACAACAATCGGCTGGAAAGGATATGGCCTCGGTATTTTGGGATCTCCGTTGTGTAATACTCATCGACTATCTTGAGAAGAGAAATACCATAAACAGTGAATATCATATAGCCCTACTGGAGCGTTTGAAACGACCGTGTTAGGAATCACACGTAAAAAGCGTTTTCTTTTTTGGACCCGGGACTTTTTAGCAAACATTTCCTATGCCAATCAATTGATGCCCGATTCTCTATTCAATTCCAGAAAAACTAAAATTATATTCACTTGCCTTGAATGTAAAGCTGATAAATGATTGTGTCTGAAACAATTACGAGATAAGTAAAGATACTGTTATCGAGGTCTTGATAATACTGACTCTGTATCTATGGAACGACATATTTATTCTTTTGTGGAAGTTCAAGGTACCAAGTCAGAATGAATTTTTTATTATACTCCGTGGTCTATTACTCCAGTTTACTTCTAACTCCTTTCATTGTATATTCGGTCTTTTTTCGAAAAACAGAACGTAGTCGGTATAGCAACAAAGGTGAGATTGGTAAATATCAGGTCCATTTGTTCTAACAAGTTTTTTATCTATTCCAGATTGGCTTTACCTCATAAAATATTTCATAGCCAAAAAGCAAGTGAAAATATATCAAGATAAGTATAAAATTCATCACAAGGACTTGGGTAACAAATTCGAAACTGAATTTGACATACCGACAGTAAAGGTTTGTACATAATCTGGGATTGTTCCATTTGATTGTACTTCTTTGTAGAACACCAATTCCCACAGTTTTCATGGGACAGATCAGAGAGGGAATAGTTTGTTGTTGAGGTTATCTGTTGGACCTGCTGAAATTGCCGAATTGAGTTTGTATTTGCAGCTAGCAGATGGTAATTCATATGTACTCCCAGGTAAGAATCACTCAAGATTCCTAGCTGAATGCAAAGAACAGTACTCACGGTGTTATAAGGTGTTTGAGAAATGTGTGTATGGTAAAATGTTCAATGTTTTGGACAAGTTCAACACGGACTATTCTGATCATTTCAATTTAAGAGCCACCGGTAGACAGCTGTTTCAGCCTATTGGGCATCGTCAGTACCGGGCAGGCGGTCCTCGATTAAAGACAAAATATGAAGCAAGCGAGACATAAGTGTATTTATTATGTCTTATATTTAAGGTTTAACCGTCAAGAATGATGTTTGCAGACTCTACAATAATTATCAATTTTTCCTATAAGGAAACCTTTATCACTATGTTTTGGTCAGGTTCCTTCTAGAGGGGAACCAAATATAATAAACTTCATATGAAATTTCGATAATTATCAAAACAGGGTGGTTACCAGAAATAATATATATGAAATTCAATAAACTGTCTGAAGTGAATTTCCTCAAATGGAACCCCCCATTTTTATGATTCAATCGTATTGAGCATCAAAAATAAGGGTAACTCTTGCGGGAGCATATTAGTATAATATGATGCTTTTCAAAATCTATATCTAGTCTAATCAAAAAGTTCAAAAACATGAAAAATAGAGATAAAGGTCCTAAAAATATGAGCGATAGCTCATTCGATTCGGAATCACCTCTAGAAAAATGTTTTTGAAGGATTTTGGTGCAGGTAGAAAATTGCAATTGTTATTAACAAAATAAGATTTAAAAAAATGGTATTTAGTTTTTCGTTAATTACTCAAAAAATATTAATATTTAGACTGTAAAT